CCGGCTGGCCACTTTTGAGCCCCCCCAAGGCTGGCAGCGGGCAGCGAAGGAGCATACTCACCTGAGCTCTTCCTGCTCGGCTTCCTCTGCGCCGCTTAATGAAGCCGGGAGCCAGAATATGACGTCAGTCCGGCTCCCGGCATCACTAAGCGCTGCTTACTCAGCCTGTGCGCCCCCTGCCTGCCTGCCCAGCAGCCACACTGGACTGCTGGTAAGAAATCCACTCCAGCTTTCCCAGGAGGCTGGGTGGATTTAAAATAAATGTAAAAAATATTAGTTTGTGAGTGTTAGTGGAAATGTCTGTGTGTGTGTCTGTGAGTGTTTATTTTGAAGTGAATGTGTGTGTGTGTGTGTCTGTAAGTGTGTAATTGTGTGTGTCTGTAAGTGAATGTGTGTGTGTCTGTAAGTGAATGTGTGTGTGTCTGTGAGTGAATGTGTGTGTTGGTCAGTGAGTGTATATGTGTCAGTCAGTGAGTGTGTATGTGTCGTCAGTGAGTGTGTATGTGTCGTCAGTGAGTGTGTGTCGGTCAGTGAGTGTGTAGGTCAGTGAGTGTGTAGGTCAGTGAGTGTGTATGTGTCGGTCAGTGAGTGTGTGTCGGTCAGTGAGTGTGTGTCAGTCAGTGTGTATGTGTCGGTCAGTGCAGTCGTGCATCTTTCAGTGAGTGCTTGCGTCTGTCAGTGAGAGTGTGCATCTGTCAGTGTGTGTCCAAGTAATAGTGTATGTGTGTATGTCATTGTTTGTCAGTGTATATGAGTGTGTGTGTCTGTCAGTGAGTGTGTGTCTGTCAGTGAGTGTGCGTCTGTCAGTGAGTGAGCGTCTGTCAGTCAAAGTGCGGCCTTGACAGGAAGGGGTGGGGGAAATTTAAACTCGGTTACAGGCATGTACACACACACTCAGTTAAAGGCAGTCACACATACAGGCACAGGCACAAACAATGGCACAGTCACACATACAGGCACAGGCACAAACAATGGCACAGCTACAGTGACACACACAGACAGACAGTCACATAGGCAGTCACACACACAGACAGACACACAGTAACACACACATAGACAGTTATACACACACAGGCAGGCAGTCACACAGATAGAAAGTCACACACACAGACAGGCAGTCACACACAGACAGATAGTTACAGACAGACACACACAGGCAGGCAGGCAGTCACATACAGGCAGTCACACACACAGGCAGTCACACACACAGACAGACAGTCACACACACAGGCAGTCACATACATGGGCAGTCACACAGACAGACAGTCACACACACAGACAGTCACACACAGGCAGGCAGTCACACACAGAGACAGTCACACACACACACAGAGACAGACAGTCACACACACACACAAGGACAGGCAGTCACACAGACAGTCACACACACACACACACACACACAGACAGTCACACGCACACAGGCAGGCAGTCACACAGACAGACAGTCACACACACACACAGACAGTCACACAAACAGGCAAACAGTCACACACACACACTTACCTCTTTCCAGTGGATGCAGTTGGCTGATGGGGAAGCATATTTCCCTCTTCCTGTACAGCAGGGGCTTCGGGAGGTATTAGCCCCGTCTCCGCCTCTCGATAAGCCCCGCCTCCGCCGCTCGGTAAACCCCGCCCCCTCTGCCGCGATTTTTTTTTTTTTTTTTTTTTAAATAGACCCGGGTGGAGAATAATTAATCCTCCAGCCAGGTACCTCTTTTAGCTCCCCTGCACTCCGACCATGAGTGAGCTGTGTCGGCCACAGGGCGCCCCCTGTTCCATGGCGCCCTGTGCGGTCGCACAGCTCGCACACCCCTAAGGCCAGCCCTGACTGTATGTAATTGGAAGCAACGGAGAGAATTATTAGTAAACCCTTCCAGTTCTTCTTTCAAGCCACAAGTGCGAGGTCCCAGGCTGTGTGTAGCGTGAGGCGAGTATTTGGCTTGTGCTGCATTAACAGCATTTGATTGGATTCATACTGCGGTTCGTGAGGTAATACTCTCGGTTCAACAAAAATTAAATCAATGTCAAGTATCTCAACAGGCTCAGCTCCTCTTCCCCACCTCACCCCGTGTGTTTCCTTATATAACCTGCTAGAATTCCTTTCATTATATTGTCGTGTTGTTTAAATAAAAAATTTTTAAAAAATGGGTGTGGATTTTACCTGCCTAGATAAATGGGGAATTTTGTAAGTTTGGTCATGCTGACTATTTAAAGGAACACTATAGGGTCAGGAACACAAACATGTATTCCTGACCCTATAGTGTTAAAACTACGACCTCCCTCCCACCCCCTTGCCACCCTAAATATAGAAAAATCTTACTTGTATTTGAGTAGCTTCTGCCTCTGCCTCTGAACTGCATCTAACATCATTAGAAGTGGTGGTCTGAGCCAATCACAATGCTTCCCCATAGGATTGGCTGAGACTGACAAGGAGGCAGATCAGGGGCAGAGCCAGCATGATTCAAACACAGCCCTGGCCAATCAGCATCTCCTCATAGAGGTGAATTGAATCAATGAATCTCTATGAGGAAAGTTCAGTGTCTGCATGCAGAGAGAGGAGACACTGAATGTTTGGATGCATTTTAGGCAGGACTGCCCAAGGAAGCAACTCTAACAACCATCTGATGAGTGGCCAGTGGAGTTATCACTAGGCTGTAATGTAAACACTGCTGTAGTGTTTACAGCAAAAAGCCTGAAGTTATTGATTCTACTCACCAGAACAAATTCAATAAGCTGTAGTTGTTCTGGTGACTATAGTGTCCCTTTAAAGCAGTTTGGGGTGGTTGGCGTGGTTGTTCAATGCCGGGTTAATCTTTGTTTGCATTTGTTGTGGATAAAGTTAACGTGTTTATTATAGTAGTGTGTAGTTCCAATGTATCTTACAAAATAAAATGTTGGCTTTAACCCCTTAAGGACACATGACGTGTGACATGTCATGATTCCCTTTTATTCCAGATGTTTGGTCCTTAAGGGGTTAAATAAAGACAACAGCCTTACTCCAATTCAAGTCTCTGTTAGTTATTTATTCAGTTTATTTAATTTCTTTCCCAATACACATTGGGTTTTGGGTTAAAGTGCTGTTAAAATGATACTCTACTTCCATGGAAAACAAATAAAATTCACTGTTTACTGATTCCTCTCCTGCAACTGTCATTATTTCTCTAATACTATCCTTGCCACTGGCAGATTGGTCACGGATCGAGGCAGTCAGGGTCCCGGCCAGCTGCACAGCCATGCTCTGGCTGGGGAGATCACATCAGAGATCTCCCCAGCCAGAAAGACATTATTTCACTTGTGGCAGTGATAGGTTGCTCCTGCAACCTATAACATTCTAAATGTCCCCCTCCTTCTCAGAGAAACCTGGCTGGCAGTGATGTTACTCTTCTTGCCAGGTCTCCTCCCTACCATGGCTCTGCGGAGTAAGAAGTGAGAGGGGAATGGCAGAATTAACAGGTATGTAAATATTTTCTTTAGCCCCTTTTCCCACACCTTATGCCCTCTTTACCCATCCCAGCACCTCTGCCCCCCTTCACCCACCACAGCCCCTATGCCCTACTTTACTTAACAATCCCCTAGGCCCCCCTTCACCCACAACAGCCCTTATGCCCTCCTTTACCCATCTAGCCCATATCCCCCTGCACACATCCCAGCCCCTATTCATTCATTTAATTCTAACTCCACTCACATACTACACTGCAAACAGTCCCATCCACACACGCAAACCCACAAGGAGCCCGACTGTATGCACACAATCCCACACATGTAATACCACATACAGCCTCCCTACACACACATCACAAACTGCATCTCCACCATTACAATACTGCATACAGCCCCCTTACATAAACATTAGTAATTATTACAATAACTTATATAGCACCAACATATTCTGCAACCCAGTACAATAGGTAAAACAAGACAGATTAATTCTAACTCAGGACATTGACATACAGGAACACAACATCATAAGTAGTCTTCAAACGCATGTGTTTGGAGACAGGGCCGGCGCGTCCATAAGGCGGCATAGCAGTCCGCTGGGGAGTCTGGGAGAAGAGCAGTGGAAGTTACGCCCCCTCCTCCTGACATCATCAGGAGAAGCCAGCTGACTCCCCTGGCTGTTCTGTGCTGGCTGTAGGCTTCTGCTCCAAGCTCAGGTAAGACTCAAGGGTGGGGGGGATTTTTTTTTCTTAGCCCATGCCCCTCTCTACAGCCCCTGCCCTCCACTTCTATAACCCCTATGTCCCCTCTCAAGCCCATGTTCTCCTTTCTATAGCCCCTGCCCCCTCTACAGCCCCTGTTTCCTATTCTATAGCCTCTGTGCCCCCTTTTACAGCCCCTGCCTCCCCATTCTACAGCCCCTACCCACCCTTTCTATTGGCCCTGTGACCCTGCCCACCCCTTCTATAGTCCCTGTGTCCCCCACCACAACCCATATCCTCCTCTCTACAGCCCATACCAACCAACTCTACAGCCCATGCCACCCCTTTTACACCCCTACCCCACTTCTATAGCCCCTGTTCCCCTCTTTACAGCCCTTGCTTCTTTTAAACCCCTGTGTCCCAATCCTCTACAGCCCTTGTGCCCCCCTACAGTCCCTGTGTCCCCCCTACAGCCCATGTCCCCCTACAGCCCTTGTGTACCCCTATGTTACTTTGCCCCCCTTACAGCCAGCTGTGTCCCCCTCTACAGCCCCTGTGTCCTCATAGCCCCTGTGTCCCTCTCTATAGCCCCTGTGTCCTCCCTTGCTAGCCCCCTGTGTCCTCCCCCTACAGCCCCTGTGTCCTCTCCCCACCTACAACTCCTGGGTGTGTGCCTCTCTACAGCCCCTTGCACCCCCTTGTCCCCCCTTGCACATACCCTATCCCTACCACAGCCCCTTACCCCCTTTTAGAGCTCCTGTGTCCCCATCTGTGGTGGAATCTCGGTAAAAATAAATTTAGTAGGCCGAGATTACCACGTGGCATGTGTACGTGCATATGCTGACGTATCGATCAGTTGGTTGCACGAGGCAAGATACGATCAGTAGTGTACGGAGCATGTGCAAGAATACAGGATGTAGTATTCCCCTCCTCCATTGTGCTGGACAAGCCACGCGGTCAAGCAGGAAGTTAATTCTTATTTGTAATGATTGGTCAAGAGAATGTGCGGGTGGAGCTTAATATGGGAGGAGTTATGTGCCTATATAGGGAGCCTGCACTATTGTTCAGGGCTCAGAACTTGCTGTATTTTTTGGTGACATTAGTCCCTCTGAGTCCCGATCGGTGATCCAATAAAGAATCTCTTCCTTCCTGAAGAAACCTGTGTCCATCTCTCTGTGCTTTGCTTCCGTCAGTTTCTCCGGTATCATTTGATGCATTGGCCGGGAAGCTCATCGTTCAACGGTAGCTGAGAGGCAGAGGCGTGAGACGGTCTATCTTTGCCCACGTTCTCTACGGCTGCACCCCTGAACTTCTGCGTGGACCTCCCTTCGTCTCGGCGCCACTGGTCTGTTGTCCAGGAGATCATCGGCCTCTACGTAAGAAGTGCTGGGGTGTCCCCGTCGATGAGTGTGAACTCAGGTTCAGGAACGAGGAGGTAAGACAACTGCTGTTTTAGACGGCAGACCCACTAGGGGTATACCGATTGTGCGGTAGGCCCAAAAGGGGTTTAAATCTGTGTATGGAATCTGCCCCCTCTGTCGGAGGGAAGGAGCGAAGGCGCACCGCTCGATCGAACGCTCTTTAGTAAGACCGTTTGATCTGGTTAGTCAGGCGGGGTCCTGTGTAAATAGCCCTAGCTGGACACCGGTGTCTTGTCTAGACTAGCGTTCTAGGGTGTATATTACGCTCGCTAGGTCGGAGGGACCGGGAGACTAAGCGGCGCCTGTGTAAATTCGGTTCGCTAGCTCTCAACCTATCTTGGCTAAGTGGGAAGGCGTGTAAATTTGGAACCCACTAGACTTTTGATAGAGTAAATAGACTAGAAGGGCAATTTTGTAAATTTCGCCCTCTAGTTCGCTATATGTGGTGTTTGGGCAGTGTGGCTAACCAAAACGGGTGTATATAGTTTTAGGTAGTCCATTCAAGGTACTGGCCAATAGTTTAGTTGGGATTGTAAATGTGTTAAAGATTGTTAGTAAAGTGTATATCTTGTTAGATAGCGCGAGCTCAGCCGTCTAGCGAGAGTGTTAATAGTGTGTTGCTGTATCATAGTGCACGGTACCATAACCCTGTATATTTACTGACACTGTATATAAGTACTAATCATTGTCGTCTATTGCATGTTTAACACCGTAACCACTAATAATTGTATTGTAACC